TTCAAGGACTTGATACTGCCAGTTTTGCTCTATGGAAGCAAAACCTGGATGCTATTTAGTGTCTTGGAGTCTCGTCTTGATGCCTTTTGTGACAAGTCTCTTCACTAGATCATGGGGCACGGCTACACCATGAGACTGGCATGAGACCTGTTACTTGCATAATCCGGGATCGCCAACTCAGGCTATATGGGCATCTAGCTCGTTTCCCTGTGGATGACCCTGCCCATCAGGTTGTCTCTCTGCGAGACAATCCTGGGTGGAAGCCCGTGGGACGACCTAGGAGCTTGGGCAGCTCGATGAGACCTGCCGTGAGGAGTTAGAGAGGGGCCGAGGGTCTGCCTGGAGACTCGCCATGAGGGACCCTCGTGGCTGGAAGCGAAGAGTGGCTGCGGCCATGCGCCCCCGTCGGCGTTTGCCCCTTGATGATGATAAACATATATATGAATTTCATATATATACATATATATATGTATGTATACATATATGTATATATATAGACTGATAGGCAGATTGGGATATATATATATATCCATCTATCCTTCTACCTATCTATATCTATATATCTATATATCTATTTATCTATCTATCTATATATATATGTATGTGTATATATGTGTGTGTGTGTGTGTGTGTGTGTGTGTGTGTGTGTGTGTGTGTGTGTGTGTGTGTGTGTGTGTGTGTGTGTGTGTGCGTGTGTGCGGTTGTGCGTGTACGTGTGCATGTGTGTGTGTGCGTATATGTGAGTGAGTGAGTGAGTGAGTGTGTGTGAGTGTGTGTATATGCGTGTGTGTGTGTGTGTGTGTGTGTGTGTGTGTGTGTGTGTGTGTGTGTGTGTGTGTGTGCGTGTGTGCGTGTGTGCGTGCGTGCGTGCGTGTGCGTGTGTGCGTGTGTGCGTGTGTGTGTGTGTGTGTGTGTGTGTGTGTGTGTGTGTGTGTGTGTGTGTGTGCGTATATGTGAGTGAGTGAGAGTGTGTGTGTGTATGTTTGTGTGTGTGCGTGTTTGGAAATGTATACATATTCATATATGTTATCATGTCCGCATGCTTATATGCATGCATGGATGTGACCTTGACCTCCGCATAGAGGTGCGTCGAGATCACGGCCCTTTAAGTTCCCCGTTGCTGCCTCCAATTGCTCTCCGCTGTTGCATGAATTTTGTTTCGTCTTGTTTGTGTCATTTTGCATCCACAGAATATACAAGTTCTGAGCTAAAGTTATCTTACTTGGCATTCTAAATCGCACAAATAGACTTTAGTTTGCCTTCAAGTAACCAAATTGATTACTTTTCTGATAGGGAAATAATATGCCAGGGTCAAATTAACGATTTTGGGAAGGAGAGCAAACCAATGTCCGTCCGTTTGCACCATCCAAATAACCCGGCCATTCTTAGGTCAGGAGGCAAGAAAAAGAACTTGTCTGACCAGTTCTCGTTACCGCTTCAAGTTCGCGCAAAAAGTAGTTCATAATAAGTAATCCGGCACAATTTAGTCAACTGTTGCTTGGATGTAGAAATCACTGTATCTCTGGACTCTGGTAAATATATGAATATATAACTAGATAGATATGTAGAACGCATGTAGAATAGTGACATGAATACACAGATGATTTTCCCTTACTTGGGTATGAAAAAAATCACTTGTACATCTATGGAATTATATTAAGAAACTGCAAGATCAAAACTAAAACATTCCACTGATAAGCACTTGTGTTTGACCCATGCACTGAAGCTTTTTCTCAGGTGTAAAAATCGCGATCATGACCTTTAATATGAATAGTACTGCTGAGAGAATAAGTCATTCTAAATGAGAACACTTGCGAATCATATATTGTATGCTGAAAGACTCATTGTGACAATTATTTGAGTAAATATATCGCCGAGAAAGTTGCAAACAATGTACAGTGTCCAGGACGTGTCCTAGTATCTCCTTTCCATAAATACAACTTGGATAAGATTATATATTCATATCCCTTTAAATGATAATAACGTTGATGACTGACGACTTACATTGATAAAGGTAGTATTTTGAATCGACCTAATTAATATCTGAAAATAATAATAAGTTTGTTATATAGCTATCTAAACAGTATTTCTGTCAGTTACTTGCAGTGGACGGTGATACTATCTTGAATCTGCATAAATTTCAAATCATTAATCCTCATGAAATTCTGTGTTGATTACTTTAAAAACAGTACGATACAACAGCAGAGAAAAATGTAACCAAAAACTTGAAACAGCCTTAACGGCACGTACCAATATGCAAGATGACAAAGAGCGCAATCCTCTTGTGCAGATTGCAGTGCTCCACGGCTATGGCGACCGTGAGGCCCCCCAGGAACATCATATTGGTCTCCTTCATGTAGACGAGGCACACCTTCCCCGTCGACAGGATCCCCAGCAGCGGGAACGCGAACACTGGAATGAGGGCGGTGACGGCCAGGGGGATCGCTTCCGTCATCCAGTACACGGCCATGACGAGGATGACGTACCCGCATCTCGCTTC